TTATAGCTAGAGTATTTAATATTTGGAATTTAGATACAATAAATGTGGCTTGTTAATTATTTTGTTCTTATTTGAACAACCTATTTGCTATTTCATTGTAGCAGTGTTCATCCTTTCTTTGACCAGGGACTAGCAAATGAAAATCTACCAGCGCCAGGGACCCCCCACCATGTGTGATTGTATTAATACCTCAGAACTAGGGCACCCATTGAGTATTGTTCATTTTGGGGATGGTGGCCAATCACTGTTCCTCTGTTACCTGGATTGTGCAGCATGGCGATTCTGACATCTCCACTATAAAATGTAAAGGAAAACAGCTAAATCAGAAGATGTTTCCCATTTTGGAATGGAAATGGAATCTTCAAGTGAAAGCCCTGACCTTAGCCCAACTGTCACTTATTTCTGTATCAGCTCTATAGAGAAGAATAGGCTCATGTATCCCCAGATTAATGTGGGGGATTGAAGAACCAGCCAGTAACAGGTTTAGTCATGGCTACTTGCTGCCTTAGCAAGTTCTTATATATTCTTGTGATGTGTAACATTTATTTTTCTTCCGTTAGTTTCATTTCACATTACCTTTAGGTTAAGTATCTGCTGAACATTTTTGCGATACTATTGGACAAACTCCCCATTTTCTGAGAAATGTATGTATTTGTTGCATTTACCAGTCTTATCATTTTGTCGATTAGCTGGTTTTTATCAGTTTCAGAATCAGGTTTATTGTTGGTGCCTCTCTGGTACATTATAATACAATAGATCAAACCAGTACAGATTAAATACAGTATAAAGGACATCTTATTTATAGACAGAACAATGTACATGAAGTGTAAACAACATGCAAGGTGCAAAGTGTGTGGTATGTCTTATGGACCAGTTGAACAGGATATTCATATTTATATATGTATATACACCAATGAGCTCAAAGTGTCATAAAAACGGTGCATGTTCAGGTCTTGGATACATTAGATGGTAACTTAACATTAGGTACTCGTTAATGATTATCAGGAGTAAGGAGTATCAGAGGAGTAAGATGCTGCACATGGGTCTGCGTAGGTGTGGGTTAGTCAGAGTGCCCATGCTAACCTCTGTCCAACACCAAATGCACATACAGTGGGCACTCAGGAGCCCACTGGACCTTGGGGAGATAGAAGGAGGTCATCTTGCGGACAGCTGGACAGATGTCAAGCATCTGCAGGAGGTGTTGGGTCAACATGCCCAACCCCTGGCTGCATAGTCCCACACACATCAGCGCTCGATACACGTGTGCCATGGTGTCTTGTCAGATTGCTCCCGTGACCATCATTAAAACTACCTACGATATACATTTTATTGGTTGGTACCAGATGGGCAAGGATAGATGTAGTGCAGAAAAATGTACCAATAAAACACAAGAGCAATAATATATATTTACACAATTTTCTGGTACAGAATTGCTGTCAGGATAAGTACAGAAATAAGTCAGTTGCCCCATAACATAATATGCAAAGCACCCAAATAGCTGCTTTAGTTTCCTCTTTTAAAATTTCTTTAAATCACTTGTATAGGCTTGTTCTAATTACACTACCCCTAAATATGTATTATATATATATATATACACACACACACACACACACACACACACACATATATATATATACAGTATATATATATGGATATATGGATATATTTTTTCTCAATGTATTGCTTTGTTGTGTTTTAATATCTCTGCATTATTAAACATATTGTTTTCTCATTAAAACTTTATGATCTATGTTACAACAAGGTGCATTAAATGTATTATATTAAAATGGATTATGTACAGTGTTTTCTAGATGTGCTGAAGACCACATAATGCATTGTTGTTATAAAATGTGCAAAAACTATGAACTCTTTGGAGGAACACAACCAAGTGTAGAAACATTGCAGTTTTGTTTGTGGGCCTAGAATTTAACAGCATTGCAGCAGTGTGTGTGGACCCCGAGTATAAAAGAATTGCAGTATTTTGAGTGGACCCCGACTATAACAGCATTGGAGCAGTGTGTGTGGACCCCGAGTATAATAGTATTGCAGTATTTTGAGTGGACCCCAACTAAAACAGCATTGGAGCATTGTGTGTGGGCCCCGAGTATAATAGTATTGCAGTATTTTGAGTGGACCCAGACTATAACAGCATTGGAGCAGTGTGTGTGGACCCCGAGTATAATAGTATTGCAGTATTTTGAGTGGACCCCAATTATAACAGCATTGGAGCATTGTGTGTGGGCCCCGAGTATAATAGTATTGCAGTATTTTGAGTGGACCCCAACTATAACAGCATTGGAGCATTGTGTGTGGGCCCCGAGTATAATAGTATTGCANGCCCCGAGTATAATAGTATTGCAGTATTTTGAGTGGACCCCAACTATAACAGCATTGGAGCATTGTGTGTGGGCCCCGAGTATAATAGTATTGCAACAGTGTGTGTGGGCCCTGAGTATAAAATAATTGCAGTATTTTGAGTGGACCCTGAGTATAATAGCATTGCAGCATTGTGTGTCGACCCCGAGTATAAAATAATTGCAGTATTTTGAGTGGACCCTGAGTATAATAGCATTGCAGCATTGTGTGTNAATAGCATTGCAGCATTGTGTGTCGACCCCGAGTATAAAATAATTGCAGTATTTTGAGTGGACCCTGAGTATAATAGCATTGCAGCATTGTGTGTGGGCCCCAAGTGTAAAAGAATTGCATTATTTTGAGTGGGCCTAGAGTATAACAGCATTGCAGCAGTGTGTGTGGGCCCCGAGAATAAAAGAATTGCATTATTTTGAGTGGGCCCTGAGTATAACAGCATTGTGTGTCGACCCCGAGTATACAATAATTGCAGTATTTTGAGTGGACCCTGAGTATAAAAGCATTGCAGCATTGTGTGTCGACCCCGAGTATAAAAGAATTGCAGCATTGTGTGTGGACCCTGAGTATAAAAGCATTGCATTATTTTGAGTGGGTCGAGAGTATAATAGCATTGCAGCATTGTGTGTGGGCCCTGAGTATAATAGCATTGCAGCAGTGTGTGTGGGCCCTGAGTATAAAAGCATTGCAGCAGTGTGTGTGGACCCTGAGTATAAAAGCATTGCATTATTTTGAGTGGGTCGAGAGTATAATAGCATTGCAGCATTGTGTGTGGGCCCTGAGTATAATA